ATTGCTATCACCTCAGCTAGACGAGTGGGAGAAATATTGGCTTTCCGACACAATACACCTTACCTGTCATTTTTGCCAGATGGAGTCCGCCTCATCCCAAACATCTCCTTCCTGCCGAAGGTGGTGTCAACGTTCCACCTGCAGTCGGAGGTCTTCCTTCCTGACTTCTTCCCAAATCCATCATTAGCGGAGGACAAATTATTACACACCTTGGACGTGAAGCGGGCTCTCCTGTTCTATCTCAATAGAACACACCCAACTAGGCGGGACTCACAACTTTTAGTCTCATACGCTTCGGCACGTCTGGGCACTCGCATCATGGCCCAGCGCCTGTCAAAGTGGATTGTGGGTCTCATCCGTCTGTGTTACCAGATCGCCAAACAGCCATTGCCTGGCCCTATCAGGGCTCATTCTACCAGGGCTGTCACGACTTCCACTGCCTTCCTCCAGGGAGTGCCACTGACGAACATTTGCAAAGCTGCTACGTGGGCCATGCCTAATACCTTCATAAGGCACTATGCCCTAGACATCTGTACAAACACCAATACCAACATGGGACGTCACATTCTGTCTTCGGCTACGCAGTAAAAGACCTGCCAGCACCCTCCTCCAGGTAGGCCACTGCTCGCTAATCTCCCATGGGTGTGAAACACAGAGACCACGTCGAAGGTAAGCATGTTGCTTACCAGTAACTGGTAATCTTCGAGTGGTCATCTGTGCATTCACACCACCCGCCCTCCTTCCCCGCTGCTGTCAGCTTCTACATTTTTGAATAGGGGTTGATTTGCGGCGGTTTGAAGGAACTGGCGGGATGTCCGCGCCCACCCCTCTGGGCATGCGCGGTGGGGTTCCTGCGCATGCCCGAGGGACTGGGCGTGAAAATCCATTAAAAGAGCTTGCTACAGCACCGATCGATCCAACACATGCGCATTAGATCCCATGGGTGTGAATGCACAGATGGCCACTCGAAGATCACCAGTTACTGGTAAGCAACCTGCTTTTTTTGTTGATTTGCATGTTTGAGTGGTTTCTGTTCAAAAATACAATACAGATGTTTGTTCTGTAACTTGGGATAAATTATCTAAGTTACAAGATAGTATTTAACATGATATAGGGATATTAAACTATATTTCAAGTGCCTGAAGCTACAGAAATGGTGAACAAAACGTAGTCCATTAGAGAAGAATTAAAAAGATTACAGCAGATTGTATCTGAACCACAGAATATTTCAAATTTTACATTTCTCTCTAGATTTTTAGAAGAGTTTGACAGCAACATTTTCATCTCCAATAGTAATCTTTCAGAATTTATTATCACCCTTTTTCTAGGGTGGTTCCCCAGTAAGGCTCTTTTCATTCCGCTTCATGGAAAATTTAAATTCCACATAACATAGAACAGTATTCTCTATAAAAGTTACATTCCTAATATATGTCTACTGAGAACTAAGTCTCCTTAAGCAATGATTCTACTTTTCCCTACAAAGGTATTTTATTCCCTGATTTTTAGTTTGCTTAATTACTTTCTGCTTTCCTCAGACTGTTTGTTCTCTTGGGGTATGCACAAACTAATATAAATTATGAGATATGGTTTCCTTGGAGAGCCTGGAAGATCAAGTACTGTTCTGCTAACTTTGAATCATTCAATAGCACTATTTGTATTTTATTTTATTGTTCATGATTATAATAGCATGATTAAGAAATTGGGTTCACTACAAAGTGAGAAAACATTATGAGCACCTCCCCTTGACTCCAGAACAGGACTTGATAATTTACAATTGATACACAAATACTGAGATAATCAGGAATTAATTAAACTGGAAGGAGAAGGAAGACAGCAATATTTAAGGGGATAATAACCCTGAGAAACCTCAGTATTACTTTGACTGTCCACATGGGACATTCTTGTGCTACAACTGCGTTTTAAGAATTGCTGTAACTGCTAAAAAAAGATGGAAAACGTTAAAGGAAACACTAAAATGAAATAGGTTGACAGCATTGTTGTCTGGAATATCCAGAACAAATAATGGCAATACCAGACAAATGGTTTTGGAACCACAGCTAGAATTCTCAAACTCTGATATAATATAGTTCATATGGCATTATATCAAATAGGTTCAATTTGTAAGAATGTCATGACAAGTCATTCCCTGAAACTGTAGGTGAATTTAATTTTAAACAATCCTAAAAAAAGAATCTGCAATATAAGATCTTCTGTGGGTTAACCTAGGGAAAAGTGCAAGTTCTATCTCTGTCAACTTTTGTTCTGGTGAATTAATGTGATCATTTTCTTATTATGATATCTAAAATTAAAGCAGACAACACATGAAAGCAGCAAAGTGAGGTGATTCAGAAAACATAGGGGGTTCTACATATTCTGATCTTTCTAAAGTCTGCAGATAAGATGCAGCTTTGTAAATTACCAAATGGGCTGAAAAGGCCTGATGAAGACTGAGCATGGAATATTAAGAGCAACTGCTAGTCTGTTCCAAGGAAAGAAAAAATGGTGGGAATTGGAAGGTGGGGACTTGTCATCAGGTCCCAAAGAGCTTACAAAATTCTGGAAGGGAAAATTTGGTTATGAATCAGAAGGACATTTCTAAATTATTCCCCCCCAATGATTTTTGATAGTCCCCCAGTTTATTGTATCTGTTGTAAAATGGATAGTTCAGATTGATTGGGCCACCCACAGATAAGATATCTGGGCCCCTTGCATCTTTCCTCTCATAGCAAGTTTCATGGCTTTTAGGGTCTATTTCTAAGGTTCTCTGGAGACAGGGCTGGAGTTTCTGCATAATCAGAGGAGTCTCCAGGTATGCAGAAAAATATTACTCTGTAAATACAAAAGAATGGTGCCCTTCCACCAGTCTAATGAGGACTGGAGATGCTCATTTTGCTCTTAGAGAGTCAATTATAATGAAAAAAATACCAAAGAGCAGGTGGAAATTGACCTGTTCAAGCTTCAAAGTGTTTCTGATATCCTGGAGAGGTAGATTTGAGTGAATGAGTGGATTGGTAGGATTTTGCAGCTGTTTATACTTGCTGCAGTTCTTCATGCCCTTTCACCTTGTCAGGCTGTATTTGAAATCTGGCGAGAAAAATTTCTTCCTGCTTATCTGTTTTCCCGGAACAGTAGCATTAATTTAGGGATATTCAATAGATGGTAGTCCTACCTAACTAATTGGAGTTTATGGCTGAACAGGAATTTGAACCTGAGTCTCTCACATTCAAGGATTCCCCCCCCCCTCAGTGTCTGTAGAGTATTGACTGAACTATAATGTGTACCCACCCCATTTCACTTACTGTTACCAGCTGCAAACTGCAGATGGAAATTGTATATATATTGAACTTTGAAAATCACATACATCCTGACAAAGCCAAAATGATACATATTGTTCAACAGTACCCTTCTAAAAAAAGAATTTATTGCATTCATCTCAGGATTTTGTGAAAATAAAGTTGGATATGGTTGTGCTTAGATTTAAAGGAGATGCCCACAATGTATCTGTGAAAATAAAACTATGAGTGGTGCAACAAAGATTCGTAGATGTATTTGACTATCCTAAGTTTTATCGGGCTTTTCAATATGAAGAACAATTTATGCAGCATTACCCCAAGCAGACTGAAAGTATGTCTCCTGGGTAAAAATTCCAGAATGTTTGCTGTGTTTGTCTGTGATAGTAAAATTAAACAGAAGTCCAGTTTATGCTGGAATTAATTCTGTTAGCTCTTTGAAGTGCCATTGGACCTCTATTTAACTGTGTCTTCTGTGTGATTTCAAGACTTCTGTATGCAAACAACTTTTACCTTCAGTAAGTGAAAGTGTATTTTTACATTAAGCTTCTATACTACTGAGGAGTACTCTTCCCCTCAGGAATTCCTGGTATACAAAAGATAACCCATGAACTATATGTTGTTTAGCTCCAAATGGCCCATGGTGTGCCTGTGTTTAATTTTTAATCACAGCATCTGGAAACATACTAAAGAAAACGTTTTGTAGGTTCCTTCCCACCTTAGAATGTGGAAACTCTTCTATGGAACAGTTAGATTTGAATCCAGTAGTTCCTTAGAGTTTTCAAGAGTCTAAGCTCCCTTCATCAGATACAAAAGGATCTCTCAAAAATTTATATCCTGGAAATCTTGTTGGTCTATAAACTGCTACTGGACTTGAATCTTGCTCTTTTACTGCAGACCAACATGGCTTCCCTCTGAAACTATCTTTTATGGAAGTGATTCTCATATCCCTTCAGACAGAGGTTTCAGTCCCCTGAAAGCCATAAACAGTGTAATCATTTGTTTCAGGTCAGAAGAAATTTAGTAGCATTCCTACCTTAGTCCAGCAGATGTAATTCAAGATTAGAATAAAATGAGAGTAATATAATACTTACACAAAACATATTCTGTTGCACAGTTCTTAAGCTTTAGTGAGGTAAGCGGTGATTTGTCTTTCATACAGGAATTGTGTTTGCAGTTATCAATATTTAAGTCTCCATTTATATACATCCCTGTTGCATGTTTAGACATCACATTTCTTTTTTCTGAAATCACTTCATTTTAACATTTGTTTTCCAGATAAAGGCTTATATTCATATAATTCAGGTAAATTTTAAGCATGTTGAACTGTTTATTGCTTATATACATATATTCTGTTTTTTGCTTTATATTATTGATGTGCTTCTGCTACCTGTTAAGTACCAGTTCAATTGCTAATTTGCTCTGTGAATTTATTTTTCTGCTTTCAGAAATAGGCCTTTGTCCATGTAATCGTATTGTATGCATTTATTGCTTAGTATTGTACACATCTTGCTGAAAACGTTAGTGGTTTTAAAAAACTCTATTTGTTCTGCTTCCATCTAAAGGTGCATCTAAAGGTATTACTGTTAATATACTGACTGTAGGTTGGATCCAAATGTGTTGGTCTGTTGTGTGATAGCTCTTATACCCGTCTAACCACACTTTCATTAGTGGAGGTACAGAGGCAATTCCTGAATTCCTTCCTGAACTGTAGCTCTCTCCCCCACTTTGCCTTGTCATGTTCTTGATGAGGGTTGTCTGACACCCCCCCCTCCAGAGCAGAGTTTTGGGGTCATCGGAGGGCTGCAGTGGAAAGTGGGAAGTCCTGTTCCACATCTTTTGCTCTGCTCACAGTACTTTGGTTCATCCCCATATGAGGTGCACATTAAGCTAGTTTGTGACAATTCTGTTAGAAGTTAATTGTACTACTGTTCTGTACTGTGCCTCTTTTATTGGAAGTATTTCAGTGTATAAAACTATATGAGTAAAATGTCTGAGATTAGTGAATACCTTTTAATTTTGATTCAATTTCTGCATAGACTATCAGATTACAAATCACCAGCCTTGGTTATCTTAATCCACATAAATAACACATACCTTTATAGCCCTACAACTTGCAATACATATTTTTTCTTCGCCTTCAGATATTTGTTCAGTTCCAACTAATTGTGTACCATTTACAGATATTCTATATTATTTACAGCCTTGTGCATACCATATACTTATCCAGCTGCTGCTGGAAAATCTTCAAAGAAAGAAATTTCACAGAGAGAGAGAGAGAGAGAGAGAGATTATTGGGAAGGATGGGCAGCTGAATTGACTATTGGGCAGCTGACCTCGACTTCCCCACCTGTGGGCACTCACCCGCCAGGCTTTGCATCATCAGCTGCCCGTCCTGAGCCTGCCCCTCGTTTTGGTATTCCAACTTTCCACCCCCTCCTGTGCTAAACCTCCCCCCTTTTGCCTCTAGCTTGCAAGGGGGCATTGGCACACTCCTGAACCTGTGGCTGTGATTTCCCCAGAGAGCACTTTCCTAAGGGAACCTGCTTTGTGGGGCTGTAACTTGACCTCCCCTAAATCTAATCCTCACCAAACTTGTAGGGCGGGTAGAAGAGAGTCAGCTAGAGACTTGCTGTGAGGTTGATGTTCTACAGCATTACGAACCTCATGAAATGAACTGGTTCAATAAACGAGAAGGCTCGTGAAGGTTCGTGGTTCATGGGGCCCCACAAACTACAAACTGAAACATCTCAATTTCCCAGTTCATGCTCATCCCTAGACACATCTACTCCACTTGAGGTTTCTCGTGGAAAAAGGAAAACCCACTGCCTCAACTTCATGTGTTCCCTTTGTAAGCATGAATTTTCTTTTTATTTGTCTGAAATCAGGCAGGGAGCATCCCAGTGCAACCAGTGGAAAAAACAGAATGCAATAATGAACTCATTGCCCTTTAATTCCAGTCACACAGACTCTGAATCAAAATTTTTAAAACTAAAGTAAATTAAATATGAAAAAGTCCCATACACATTTCTGCTAACAAGTTAGATGAAGGGGCAAAGTTTGCTCCTAAAATGTGAATAGAATTGGAAAATACTGCAGCTGTTTCTGAAAGGAGAAGATGCACAGGGATGAGATAAACTGAAAAAGATGGGGGGAAGCACAAATGTAAAATGCTTGCATTGTTTAACACAATGAAGGCAAACATGAAAGTCAGCAATGTAGTGCAGAGGCAAAAACAATCAATGCTTCACTGAAACAGAATGGCAACAGTATTTCTTATACTATATCATAGCTGCAAGTTCAGTAGACAGAATGTAAGATGGCTGGGAAGAATTCAGCAAAAGTTTGAGTACATCAGACATTATGGACAAGATTAAAGGCATCTGAATAACATTTCAGAAATAGATAATATATAGGTGAGTTTTTTGCTTCTATGATTAGAGAGCCAAAGCAGATCTGCTCAAAATCCTATCTATATACTAATAGCCAAGGGATACTGTGCATGCAGATACTTATTTCCACAGATTCGAGGCACCTAGGGGGCAAAGAGATCTTTCAGCACTCCTGGGGCACTCGCCAGGTGTGCAGAAAAATCTTACATGTTTAAAAAAGTGTATGGGGGATACTTAAAGCCCCCCCCCAAGTCAAATGGCATTCTCTACTTACAGATCCCTGTAGAACACTCAGGGGCACAAGGGAAGCTGTGTGGCTGCATACGGCGCTGCTAAGAATGCCGGGAGCAGCTGTTGGCGCCATGAGGACAGGCGCTCGTGGCTCCAGCCGTCCACCCTGCAGCACAAACTGCCACCTCTGAAACCGTCACTGCCCCGTAGATCTCTGACTGTAGAGTGAGGCTCTGCAGGTGGACTCGACTCAGGCAGAGGCTTCCAAGGCTGCAATCAGCTCTGTCGGGTTCCTGTGGAGGATAAGGAGCCTCCCCCTCAATGGTACTCACTCCCACAGAAACTCAGGGTCTCAGGAGTCAATGTGTGGGGAGGGCAGAAGCAAGGGAGTGTGCACAGGAAATGAAATGTGGAACACAGAGCTGAGAAGTGGAAGGGGGGTGGAGGGGGAGAGAATCTGGGTTGGAGGGAGGATGGAAGGGTTCAGCCGCACTCCAGGACTGCAGAGCAAGAGCAGAGACATTGGGAAGCAGAGACTTGAAGCCGCGTTCCCCAGTCCTGTGCCGGCTGCCTGCCTGGCCCTCCTGACAAGAAGTTGCCTAATAAATTTGCTGTTGCCATTTGCTCTCTCCCTCCCTCTCCTGTGCCCGGCCTCACTCAGCCAGCTTGCCTGCTCCGCCTGCTTTGCTTTGAAGCTGAGGCTCAGCTGTTCCAAACTGCCAGCGCGCACCTTGCAGGAGAAGCAGGGAGGTGGAGAAGCCTGGGCCCTGTGGGGGGGGGAGCTTTTTGGCGTGAGCAGCTTTTTCCAGCAGCAACTTCATCCCCAGCTGCAGCAATGCTGCTGCTCTCCAGAAGGGCTCACATGCTGGCTCCTGTGTGGTGGCGGCGGCTCAGAGTGCCATGTCTCTGCAGTCTTTGCAGCTGCAGCAGGGGCAATTGTGGGAGCGGGCAGAGAGATGGGGAGCCTGCAGGCAATCCAGTCGCCTCTGACACAGATAACAAATCCCACAGCTAGGTTAAAATCTCCCCTCACTCTCTTTTCTAAGTAGGCTCCAGAGATCTCATACTTTGTCTGCTCTCACATGGTCAACATCTGAAGCAGCAGGCATGAGCCAGGAAAATGAGTGTTAATATTTAGGCTTGGGATAGGGTTGCTAAGCTCCAGGTGGCACTTGGAGATCTCCAGACAACCAAGATCAGTTTGTTTGGCAGCCCTAACCTTTTAAATGCTAGAGTGGTAATACCAGCTGCTGTGGTCTCTGATGCACAGGGTCGCTTTGAACATTTTGCTGCTGTGCCCAGTAATTCCCACCCTTGCAGTCTGCAGGAGATGCTCTGTGATGCTTCCTTAATGTCTTCCATGTTCCTTGGCCTTATAGGGATACAAAACAAAGCACAACACATTACGCAGCATTTTGTTGCAGGTCCCCTCTTGTTCAGGTCTATTATCTGGGGCTGAGTCTCTGGAGTGGTTCTTAACAGTGCACTGTCAGTCATCCTACAGGACGGAGAGTGGAAAAGAATATATTTCAGTCTGCAGAGTTTATTTATTTACTTACTTCACTTATATTGTGCCTTTACCTTGCATATACCCTACCTTTCTCCCCAGTGGGGGCCTAAAGAAGCACTACAGAGTTACTCCCAACCATGGTAGGGCATTACTTAAAACAGGCACATGGAAACCACTTTCAATGATCAGTCTTTTCAATGATTATTCAGTACAGGTACCAGTCTTCTGAATGGAACGAGGTCAGAAGTTTAGTTATTCCATGTCTTGGTTAAAAAACCTTGTGTCCCAGCCAAGGATCACTCAATGTCTTTTAAGAACTTTATTTAAAATCACTCTTGAACAAGTTACATTAAAAGGGAATCACAATTAGTTGTTGTATATTTTCTGGGCTGTATGGCTGTGGTCTTGGCATTGTAGTACCTGATGTTTCGCCAGCAGCTGTGACTGGCATCCTCAGAGATATAACACATAAGGATGGAGTACTCTCTGTATCAACGTGAGAAGAAAAATGGTAGGCAGGTAATTTATATGTACTCAGGAAGGTGGGGTAGGGCTGACTAATTATCTTGTAGGGGTTTCCCAGGCTGTGACATGCTAATAGAGGAGCTTTCCTTAAGGATGTGCTTTTGCATACGGATTTCAGCAGCTGGGAAGGAAATAGGGTTGGCACCTCTGGGTTGGGAAATTCCTGGAGATCTGAGGAGTGGAGATTTGAGATTTGAGGAGTGGAGCCTGTAGAGGGTGGGGTTTGAGGAGGAGTGGGACCTCAGACAGGTACAATGCCATAGACTCTACCCTCCAATTCCTCTTGGGGAACCATTGTTGCCAATCTCCAGGGGAGGGCTGGAGATCACTCAGAATTACTCTTTAGATCTCTTCAGATGGCAGAGATCAGTTCCCCTGGAGAAAATGGTAATTTTCCTTGCTGAGGTTGCCACAGCAAATTGGCGCTGAGTGCCCAAGGCCAGGGCACCCACCCAGAGCCTCTTTCTAGAGCTCGTTGTATTTATTTCCACAACAGGCCTTATTTCTAGTTATAAATAAAAAGTATACAGGTCATCCCTTCTGCTACCTACATTTTATCTTCACAACTCTGTGAGGTAGATAAGGATGAGAGTACATGACTGGCCCAAGTTCACCTAGCCAGCTTCCATGGTAGACTGGAGAGTCAAACCTGTGTCTCTCAGGTCCTACTCCAATGCCATAATCACAACACACTCACTCTCACACTTTGCATTGAGGGTTCCTATCAAGCAGCATCACCTCCACCATAAAGGGCACTAGTGAGAGAAGGAATTTTCTGTCCATTTGGGTGATGTAGTTAGGCTGCCACTATGATACAAACAAGGGGAGATCCTGCCCATCAGTGCAGAAGTTGTGGATCCTAGGGTCCAAAGTGCAAAATGGGTGATGCTCTAGCACCGGAGGAGGGTGGAAAGTTTGAAAACCGAGATGATGGGCAGGCTCAGGATGGGCAGTTGATGATGCCAAGCCCGGCAGGTGAGTGCCTGAAGATGTGGAAATCAACAATCCTAGGGTCCAAAGTGCAAAGAACCCCAATACCCCTGTCGTCGTCTCCACGCCCCCTTCCCCACCTCTCCTCGAGGAGGTGTCCGTCCTTCTGCAAAAGGGTAGCCATCGAACATGTACCACCACACCTCCAAGGGACAGGATTTTATTCCCGATACTTCACAGTCCCGAAGAGAGACGGAGGCGTTCAACCCATATTATCTCTAAGGGAACTGAATCGTTTTTGTGACCTACCACCGCTTCCGCATGGTGTCCCTACAACAGATCATGCCATTGCTTTGCAGACACGTCTGGATGGCCACCCTTGACCTCCAAGACGCATATTTCCATCTTACTATCCACCCCTTCCACCGCCAATACCTACACTTTGCAATTGGTCAACAGCACTACCAGTATGTGGCCCTTCCATTCGGCCTGTCCAGCGCCCCAAGGGTCTTCACAAAGACTATGATTGTGGTTGCAGCTTTCCTCTGTCTCCGTGGTATCTTCATCTACCCATTTATAGACGATTGGATTCTGGTAGCACCTTCCAGCAATGCCCTGGTCTCAAACATCAAAAAGACTCTGGCGCTATTGGACAATCTGGGCCTGCGAGTCAATCAAGAAAAGTCTCAATTGCGTCAGGTCCAATGAATACAGTACATCGGCGCAATACTGGATTCGAAGACATGCATGGCTTACCTGCCCCACGACAGGACAACAGATATCATTTCCTTAGCCACCATCGTTTGTACCCAACCCTCCGTCACGGCCTTCCAAATTCAGAGGCTGCTCGGCCTGATGGCTGCAATTACGTCAGCTCTTGTCTTTGCCATACTCAAAATGCACCCTTTACAGCTCTGGTTTATCCGCAACTACGACCTGTCGAAAAATGCACACACCGTCGTCATATCCCCTCTTCCCAGCATACAGGACTCATTACTTTGGTGGACTGTCCCTTCAAATATCCTCCAGGGAGCGCCCTTCCACCCTCTGGCACCTGAAGTCACCATAACGACGGATGCTTCCCTTACAGGATGGGGTGCACACTCCATGGGACTTTCTGTTGGAGACAAATGGGACGCGCAGATGAGGAGGCGACACATAAACTTCCTAGAACTGCTGGCTATACAACACGCTATCACCAGCTTCCTACCTTTAATCAAGGGAAAATGTGTCACGGTCCTCACGGACAACACCACAGCGCTCTCATGTCAACAGACATGGAGGCACTGTTTCCCTACGCCTCTGCAACCTTGCCATCCAATTGTGGGAGCTTTGCATCGCCAACTTCCTTGGTGGTCTCCCATCCAAATACTAACCAGGGCTGACCCTGCTTAACTTCTGGGATCTGACGAGATTGTCTAACCCAGGCTACACATACCATACGTAAAGCTAATTCTTTGTCCTGATCATTATCTTGAGAATCAGGCTTGGTATTTACTAGTACTCGTTTTGAATCATGACTTTGAGAGGAATTATCATTACTTTTTAACATAAACTTGTAATAATAATATATTTTGATAGAGCCCTTTCTGTCCCCTTTGTCCTTGTGGGCCCACACTAGGCATTTCATTTCACATCACATAAAGAGTGCATAGATACAAATTAATCCATTAATGGTCTCATCTCAAGTGTAGGATCCTCAACCTACACCCATCTTTCATTAATACTCATATCCTTCCCTCATCTTAACAATAGTTTGTCTCTATACCAAAGGTAACCATGATTAACTTTAATAGGGTTCATTTCTAAACTAAGATTTATGGTTAGCTTAACACCATGGTTTCACATCCTTGGTTATAAAGAAATCTTGACTGTCTTTAACTATAAACACCAAGCCATGATGAAGGGCATCAGCAGAAATTTGCTTGTCTTGGAATACATGACACTTTGGCCCATTCCTGTTCCTTTAATAATGGCTGAAAACAGGAAGATTATTTTTGCCATGTCTCTTAGACTGAGACTGTTAGTAAGAAACAGAAATGTACTGGCTGGCAATAGTATATGATTTGCAGTTACGTAAATCTAGTTCCACAATATTGTGATAAAATTAGATTAAATGAAATAACCTGAGGTACAAGGCTGTAACTAAACACCAGACAGTTGTGCTGTCAAAAGCAAAAGCCTGCTTGAGGAAAAGGACTTATTTATCAAGGATATGTTATGTTTTAGTTGACATTGTACTCTTGATCCTCTGTGAACAGAAACGGTGGAGGAGCTTATTCTGTGTTCCCGTGTTTTTGCTTTACTCTTCTGTATTTGGAATCACACATTATTTATTAAAACATTTATACCCCACCTTTCCTCTTGGCTCATCTGAGGACAGAGATAGACTTCTCTAAGTGAAGGCTCTGAACTAGTCAGTATCTTTATTTCAGTTGGGTTCACCAACTCTTCCAGCTATATTCTTTAGTCCTTCCATACCTTATTTGTATTGCTGAGGTGAACTAAGTTGTGCTTTCCTTCCCCCTAACATTCTTGGACTGTTGACAAATCGTTAAATGTGGTTGTTTGTAAACCATTGGATTATATTTCTCTCCTTCTGAGAAGAAAACAGAGGAGAAGGAAAAGATAAGCATTTCTATGTAAAATTAACTCAAAGCCCTATACTGTTTTGTTCTTACATTTAAGTTCTAATAATACAATCAGCTTTTGATGACTAAGCTAGTTATTTCAGTAAGTACAGTACTTGCCACATTAATATTTTCATATTCAAAATACTACTTTTTCTCAATGTGTTGAGATCTATTATTTGTCTTGTGGGAAACAAGTTTTGTACATACAAAACTACTGAGTCTTACAAATGGTTATCATTTTTTTAAATAACACGTTTATGTGTAATTAATCCTATAATAACTCTTATTTTTGTAGGGTCCAAACGAATAAGTGATAGTGAAGTCTCGGACTATGATTGTGATGATGGAATAGGAGTAGTATCAGGTAATGAATTTACAACTACAAAACTGGTCTGTTTGGATGTTATTCTCTCCCCTGCCCCTGGAATTATCTTTTGTTCACCCTTTTCCAGTTTCTTTCTTCCTTCCTCTTGCTATGGGAACATGTGAGCTGTCGAACTGTTGTTGTTTGAATCCTGGGATGTCTTGTCTTGATTATTCATATCTCCCCCGTAGTAAGGGAGAAGGGGCTTAAGGTCATGGATCTATTATCCTGGGAAGCTTGAGGTAATGGCTAATACCTAAGGGACTGCCTTTCCCCGCATATTCCCCCAAGGGCACTAAGGTCAGGGAGCCAAAATCTCCTGGATATTCCAGGCCCCAAGACCATCAAACTTGCTACGACCAGGGTTAGGCCTTCTCGGTGGCGGCTCCTATCCGGTGGAAAACTTGCTACGACCAGGGTTAGGCCATTCTCGGTGGCGGCTCCTATCCGGTGGAATGAGCTCCCGGGGGAGATCCGGGCCCTGCGGGACCTTGTGCAGTTCTGCAGGGCCTGTAAGATGGAGCTCTTCCGCCAGGCTTTTGAGTAGGAGCCACTGCCGCCACCATTCCATCAATGCCTTCCCACCACCGCACACCATCACCGTTGGTGCGGGTATCATCAGAGGGAGCGGGACATCCCTAGGGGACGACAGGGTTGTGGGGATGTACACTGCTGTTGTTGGTTAGATATATAACATCTTAGAACACCATCTTGGTTTATGATTTGGAGTAAGTAAGTATTAGAGCACCGGAAATCTATTTTTAAGAATTTTAATTAATTATAGTATGTTATTATTGTATTTATACTGTTTTTATTGTTGTAATCTGGCATTTATGCCTCTGTTAGCCGCCCTGAGCCTTCGAGGAGGGCGGGATACAAATCCAAATAAATAAATAAATAAATAAAAACTGTCTAAATGGATCTCCACTACCATCTCCCACTGTTATCAGTTAGCAGATCAACCCTTACCAGACTGTTCTCAGGCTTATTCCATTAGAGACAGGTCTACATCTGCAGCATTC